CTAGGTCGGAACATCCATCATACACTTTGAACCTTATCACCGTAAAATTTTTTGGTATTTCTGCCTCCATGATTCTCCTAATGAAGGGTGACTGGATGACATCGTCATCGGTTTCATCCTCTGATGTGGTCCTATCCCTTCTCATAGAATCCAAGAGTACTCTGAGGTCTTTCCTCTGCTGGGGGCAAACTTCTCCTCAATCTCGGCGTCGGTAGTTGTACCCCCCAGTCCTGGGGTTCTACACGGAGAGGGTTGACCCCTCCTCAGACTCCTCCATGCCCCCTCGTCTGGATAGTCTCCGACGGAGGTCATTCCAAGTCAATGGCCTCGTCCTCTTAGCGAAAACCTCTGGGAGCTGTCCCTTGGTCCTCGGGCGCTTCGTAGCCCTGGAACTTCGTGCTTTGCCACTCAGGTGGTTCCTCAAGTCCCCAGTTCCCAATTCCCTGATAGAGGGCTCTTGCGACTGGGGCAAGTCTCAAGATCCTCCACTGTAGAATGTAAACTCATTGAGTCGGTTTAGGAAATTGACATTATCCTCTTCTAATTGTCGTAGTCAACCCTCGAACTGAACTTCGATCACCTCGGCAAGCTGACTGGCCAAGGGGGTTGATTTTCTAGCCCTGATACTTAGACTAATTCGGCGAGTTCTCTCCCTAGAATGAACGAAAAGTTCCTTGTTGACACTTTCAGTGTGATCCTTCGTTCTTGATGTAGAGGGAATCGGTAAATTCATATTCCTGTTTTGAGGACCCCCCCTTTTTATGAGTATTCACCATGGTCACTGTTCTTTGAAAATTTTGGTCGAATTCCCACAAACGGTGCCAAATTGTGCGCGAGAATTTTTGCACAATAAATAAATAAAAACAAATCTCTCATCTAGTGAACTCATGTTTACCTCGAAAGTTGACGATCTGGTGACAAAGAGAGACGAAAGGGGGTATAAGGAGTGGTGATGAATTGATTTGGGGTCTGTCCAATCGATCCCGGTGCATCGTTGAATCTTTCTGGCACTCAAAATATGGGTTAGAAGGGTGCCGGAGTGTGAAAAAAGGAATAGGAAAAGCACATTGTCTCTTGTGTGAAGTCATTTTGTGTACCTTTTCTTCGAGTTTTAGAGAGCTATTTGTAGGTTCTACGAAGGTCACCATTACTGACTAGTAGGTAGCAGGCGGTGCTCAGTCATTGGGCAATGCACCCTCCATTTTGCAGGGACTGAGTTCAAAGATTAAATAATCGGCCTCCTGAGCACTTAATACCCTTTCTCCCTGGCCCTTGAGCACTTAATGCTCTTTCTGCAATGCACAGTCATTAAATGCTCAGACTCTGGAGCATTTAATGTTCCTTCTCCTATGCTTCTCAAGCCACCTTGAACGTCACATCCCTATGGGGATTTATTAAATGCTTCTCTAGGATGACTGCATGTTAGTTGGGGTATTTCTGTTAATTTACCCTTAATCCTGTACATCATGCCACGTGTCTAACTCCTCTTAGTTGCTGGTCTCCTTCACTTTGCCATTCTGACTTCATGGGGAAAAAAAGTCAATGACTTATTGTTAGACTCTGAGATTGATTAGTTGTAACAGTCATTAATGTATCCTGGAGTCGAGGTGACGTTTAGAAAGAATCCTCAGGACCAAGACACGTAGGGGGACACATGAACAAGAATCTGGAGGTGTCCTTGATGTCGGGTACACGTGTCATCTCCAAAGAACATGGGAGTGTCCTCGATGCCAAGGACACTTGTCACCATTGTAAGAAGAATGCGTCTTCGGTACCGAAGACGCGTGTCATAACTAGGAGACTGAATATGCCATCGGTGCCGAAGACACGTGTCACCATTAGAAGGCCGAAAGTGTCCTCAGCGCCGAGAACACGTGTAATCATCAAGCTTCTTGAGAGTCTTCGGCGCCAAAAACACGTGTCAGATCCTAGACACTTCTCAAGAATGCCCCATCAACAGAGTTATTGGTCAGAGTTAGAGGAATGGTTATGCTGAAAAAAAGGCCTCTCAAGATCTCTCACGCTTAATTTGGTTGCTATATAATATAGTATTAGATTCTACTAGATCCCTCCATCTTGATGCCTACTATCGTGTTTTCTGTTGGCTTGTCACAGGTCGCATATATTTTCATATTTTTTTCCCTAATTTGAATCATAATCTAATTGAAATACATAATCTAATGCGAATATTTGACAGAATTTTATTTTCTGGATCGTTCCCAAGTATTTGAGTTAGAGCTATACGGGTTACAAAGCCCCATACATGTGATTTTTCGTTCTCCAAAGTAAATACTCGCCAATGGACTCCTACCTAAAGATGGCCTCCTTGGCCTTGTGTGTAGTAGAAAAGTCCAAGCCTTTGGGCCACAGTTTTCTAGAAAAGCCACACGATTCTGACCAAGAGCAAGAAGAAGATTTGCAATTCTCCTTCAAAAAGGCATGTGCCATATTAAAGGCATTAGTCAATTACAAAATCCAGAATTAGAAAATTAAAGGCCAATTGTTCACTGCTTACCTCATCATTGCATTGTTTGAACTGATAAATGCCGGCCACTGCTTCGCATCTTTACGTGGGAGGCAGGCACACTAATCCTCGGTCAAACTACATGATCGTTTATATTTTTACACTAGGGTATTCCGTGTATTACCCTCTTTTTTTTACTGTGATTAAAGTATAAATACGTTATAATATAGTAAATTGAAAGTCTTTTTTTATCTTATTAGTCGATCCTAAATGTCCTTTCTTATTGGAAACAAAAATGATAGTGTGCCTTCTTTTATAGGGCAACTTGGTGGACTTTGATTCACTCTTCTTGAAGAGCGAGAAAGGCATGTCTGATTTTGTAGTTCTCGCATTTTCTTCGCTTTGATAGTAAATGACCTAATCAAAAAAGGGCGGGTCTACACGCCTTATTTGAGACTACTAAAGCAAGTGATGGATTCTTTCATTAGGGAAAGAGAAGAAGGGGCCTAATTAAATTATTTATTATATGAAAAACACAATTTATTCCTAATATGGGACTTAATTAAATAAAATCATTAGATTGAAAATGAACTCTATCTAACATTGCAACTCATAATTACTCCAATTGTTGCATTGTCTAAGTCTTTGATTAAGTTCCTGAATTAAGTCTTTTTAGCATTGCTCCTATTATAATTAAACTATAAGTGAGTGATTAAAATATCTATTTTGATAAAATGAAAACATGGTTAAAATTCATAATCTAAAAGAAAACAAGAAAAGACGATATCAAGAACACAAAGGAATAAAACTGTCGCCAAAAAATAAAAAACAGAACAAGTTTTATAATTCACAAAGGCTATATTAAAATGCTAAGTAAAAAATGAAACAAGTTTTCTCTTAAAATAATTTTTACGGCCACTTTTTAAAATAATATGAATGCAATTCATTTGGTATCAGACCATGAGAGATTTATCCTTTATAAATATCTTAATCTTATATAAATGTTCTGCCCTTGACTGAAGTGACGAGAAAATTAGTTCAGCTGCATATAAGTTAGGCCAACCACTCTTACCATTGAACCCAAAAAAAATATATGATATCATATACCTAATATTTATATGGCCCCCTCCCCCGTCCCCCGAGGGGTTCTCTCTCTCACATTATCTGGGTGTGGCTGGGTCTCAACGCCAACACCACCAACGACGTTGCAGCCTAGTGACCAACAATTCCCTCTCCCACAAAGAGGTTCTTTCTCTTTGGGTTTGGTTATAGAGATTCTTGGACCATGTCAAAATTATCTTTAATTGTAGTTACGTGTCCAACACGTGATTACTTTTTATCATTGAATTAGATCAGTTGGGGCTGTGGGAGTATATAATATGTAGGTGTAATGCGTGAATTTCAGGGAAGAAATTTTTAAAATTAAAATTTTAATGATTAAAGTTCATTAAGTGATAAACTCCTGTGACTATGGGTATAATTTATTCAAAAAAATTAAAAAAATAAAAGGACAAAATTGTACTGTCTAAATTTATTTATTAAATCTTATATCTCCAAGTAGATGTAACAATTTTAACTAATTATTTATTAATCTGCCTAATCCGTCCATAAATTAATGAGTTGGGTAATATCATTCATTTTAACTAAGTGGGTTAATATAAATTATAAATGGATACTCATTGGATTGATTATTTATCGTTTTACTAAATAACACAAGTAATAAAATTAAATAAATATAATAATATACCAAAAAATATATACACTATTATATCAAAAAAATACACACGTATATATTAATACACCAAAATATACAAACACTAGTTCACAAAAAACATACACTAATACACCACACATGACCCACGGGTCAACTCATGACCCGTGGGTTGACCATGACCCATGGGTTGACCCACAACACATAGTCCACAATTACCCCCGACCCATTATTTGTGTATTTTTTTTATTAAATGTATTTTAGTTTTTGTGTTAATATATGTGTTTGTATTTTTTGTGTATTAGTGTATATTTTAGTGTGTATATTTTTAGTGTATTAGTTTGTATGTGTTTTAGTGTATTAGCGTGTGTATGTGTTGTATTTTGATATACTACTAATGTGTATGTATGTATTTGACGTACTAATTTGTTTATTAAGAATTTTAATTATTTTATAAGTTAATCGGTTTAACTCAACCCGTTATAAATTTAACCCATTGTAACTCATTTATTACATGAGTGAAAATAAATTAAATTTATTTTAATCTAATTCAATTTAATCTAACCCATAACTAACTCAAAGGACCTCTATCCCTAAATATTCATCGAATATTTGATGATATTAATAGAATCCACTACTTCAACCACGGATATAAAATTTGATAAACACAATTTACGTCATGCATGATGCAACCCAAATACTGGCTATTCAAGCAGAACAGTCAGGAAACTCTATGAAATGGACTTGTATGGCCAGAATTTTCAATACAATCCAACCCACTATAAGTATCCATCATTAATGTTCTTCCAAAATTCACACCTCCACAAACTCAATTCAATTGAACCACCCATGGAAGTAACCTGGTTATACACATCCCTCTCTCTTATCCTCCTCCTCTTTCTAGCTTTCAGGTTCTTGACGGAAAAACGCCGTAACCTCCCACCGAGCCCCGCACGGGCGCTTCCGGTTATAGGTCATCTCTACCTCCTGAAACAACCTCTTCACAGAACCTTTCACAAGCTTTCAGAGAAAGCTGGCCCAATCATATCTCTCCGATTCGGAACCCGATTGGTTGTTGTTGTGTCTTCGTCGTCGGTGGTGGAGGAGTGTTTCACCAAGAACGACGTCGTTCTCGCCAACCGCCCTCGTTTCACAATCGGCAAGTACTTAGGCTACAACTACACCAACATCGTTGGATCCCCCTACGGCGACCACTGGCGCAATCTCCGGCGACTCAGCGCACTCGAAATTTTCTCCGCCAGTCGTCTCAACATGTTCTTATCAATTCGACAAGACGAAATCAAGCGATTACTGTGCTATCTTCGTCAAAATTCAGTCAATGGGGGTTTCGCGAAGGTTGATTTGAGGTCAAAATTATCGGAGCTGTCATTCAATATGGTTATGAGGATGATTTCAGGAAAGCGATACTTTGGAGAAGACGAGGGCAATGACGAGGCGAAGCATTTTCGGGGCCTCATAAAGGAGGCAGTCCGATACGGCGGTGCGTCGAATCCGGGAGATTTCTTGCCGGTTTTACGGTGGATTGATTACAAGGGTTTAGAGAAGAATTTAGCGAAGCTTAGTGAGAAGATGGACGTGTTTTTACAGGGTCTAATTGATGAGAACAGGCGTGATATTAATAGTAGAAACACCATGATCAGTCATTTGCTTTCTCTGCAACAATCACAACCAGAGTACTACACCGATCAAATCATCAAAGGGCTTGTGCTGGTATGTGTAGTCACTTCTCCTCTATCCATTTACTTAGGTTGACAATCATGAACATTCGCCCAAAATTGATATAAAGTTAATGAATTTGATACTAAACCCTAACAAGTTTAGATTATAAATGAGGAGATCTATTATGCCCGTCTAACTGATAGGCCAGACATGAATTTTTTAAACATGACTTGAATAAATTCTGAAATATATCCAATCCAATCTCAGAGGAACCCTATCTCGTCATAGAATCACATATTCGAGTTGGGGCGTTCACCTTACGTTACACATTTAGGTGTTATGGAATTTTATATTCTTATTCGACACTTTATAAAAAAACTTTTTTTTAATCTATCCTAGATCCGGTGTTCTGTTTCTACCCAAATTTTGTTCTAAACAATCAGATAGAAAGTCGGGTAGAAAATCGCATGAACACATATTCTTTAGTTATTAATTTTTAGATCATTTTAACAATTTAATTAAACAACTTGCACTAATTAACTAACACAATAAATTAGTAACACTAAAGAAAATACAATAAATTCGATAATATATAAACAATTGTAATAAAACACAATAAAAAAAATTATAAATATCAATACATCATATATAATAAAGTCCTAAACATCAATAAAATATTATGATTTCTAGATTTTTAGATTTTAATTTTTTAGGATTAATACACACACACACATATATATAAATAGGTGTTATGCATTTTGCAGGTAGGATGGAGTAGTGTAGAATCGAAATTTATAGGGAATCGCAAATTTAAACACTCATATATTTGAGTAGGTGGTCTATGGAAAACAAGAGAACAAATTTATTGTTCACTTGGTATTTACAACAGATGTATTGTTATTTATTGACAGCAATTATCAGAGAGGAATAAGCTTATCCGTATTTGGACTATTTTTTTTTTGATCCGGCCAAAGATAGTGCATGTATGTACGCCGAGACTAGAGAATTTATATGGTATAATCTCTTACTATTTGATCCCAAAAGATTTAAAATTTTAAAATAAATTATGGTTCTATGTTGCTCTAGAACCTAAAAGTCCTAAATTTAAGTAGACTTTCCCCTAACTATATTTATCTTTAAGTTGTTTTGTGTAAAGGTGCCAATAGTCATCGTGTACTTTCGTTCTTCTTGAAATCTTGTGGTCCTGGGTTCGTGGACACAAAGAAGAGATCTCCAATGTTCCTGATCACACGCTAGTATGGCTTGTTATGAAATGCATGGTGCAATTACAACAACCAAATTCTTAAATTCTGAGACTTAATTTCAATCAACTCCTTATGACAAAATTTATTAGTAATTACGACGAAAAAAATCACGTGAACATTATGTGCCTCAATTACATGCATAATTTTGATCAAATTAACATAAATAGGAGAAAAAACTTAAAAAGTGAGCCCATACACTCAATTGAAGTAGTCAAATTTATATCAAAATGAGTCAACAAATGTAATTTTTAATACATAAACTCTAACCTTAGGGCCAACTTATTCAAAATTGACCCCATAATTGGATTATGGTTTATGCTTTCTGTGGCCCTTTTGCTTTAGAATTATTGAAGAATTTGAGCTGAAGGACTTAATTGAAATAGAAGTTAAAGTTTAAGGACTTGCATGTTTTAATTCATAGTTTAAGGACCAAATAAAAATCTAGTGTAAACTTTTGAGGATTTCAAATACAGTTTACCCTTGATTAATCCCTCCCAGTAAAAAACCTAAGGTCAGCTGGGTAGTGAAAGTTTTTAACATTATCTTTGATTTCAACCGTTTTTAATTTTTTCTTGATCTCACTTGATGAACTTATAATGTTTAGGTAATGCTAACTGCGGGCACAGACACATCATCTGTGACAATAGAATGGGCAATATCACTTTTACTCAACAATCCTGAGATATTAAAAAAGGCTAGGGCAGAGTTGGACACTCATGTGGGTTCTGATCGCTTGATCGATGAAGCAGATTTGTCCAATTTGCATTACCTTCACAATATCATATCGGAGACTTTTCGATTATTTCCGGCAGCACCGTTATTAGTGCCACACGAGTCTTCTGCTGATTGTACAATTGGGGGATATGATGTGCCACGCGGCACAATTTTATTAATTAATGCGTGGGCAATTCACAGGGACCCTAGAGTATGGGATGACCCAACAAGCTTCAAGCCTGAAAGGTTTGAAGGTGGGGAGGTTGAGGCACACAAACTAATGCCATTTGGGATGGGAAGGAGGTCCTGCCCAGGTGCTGGATTGGCTCAGAGAGTGGTGGGTTCGGCCTTGGGATCATTGATTCAATGCTTTGAGTGGGAGAGGATTAGTGGAGAGGAGGTTGATTTGGCTGAAGGAAAAGGGATCACCATGCCAAAAGCTAAGCCACTGGTAGCCATGTGTAGAGCTCGCACCATTATGGACAAAGTTCTTTCAGAAATTGAAAAAAATGTTTGAGAATTTCTTGAAAAGTTATTATTGTGCAGGTATGTAGAGGTTACGCCTAAAATGAGGTTTAAAAAGTATAAGTTAAAGACAGTTTTACCTTCTAGTTTAAAAGATAGACTATCCTCACCATTGAATCACGACTAAAATATTCAGTGTGACAACACTTCTAGTATTTAAATATTTACTCATAAATTACAATAAACTATGGTAATGATATTATGTAATTAGTCGTTGTATACATAATTGAGACGTTTTATATAAGGAACACATTTTTTTGTTGCATTTATCTGCTATTGCTATTATTCTAACTTTTGTTCTTTGATAATTGATTGCCATCGACAGCAAATAGCATTATTCTATCACTGAAATTGATAGTGGCAGAAACTTGCACACGATCACTGAAATTGATAGTGGCGGCCTTCCAGAGTGCTCCACTTTTATATATACTAGTTGATGCATACGTGTAATATACGTTAATTATTTTTACTTGTTTTAAAAAAAAATAGATAAATTGTACCAATTTTCTTTATGTAGAGATGGTTATATATTAAATGATAGTTATTGAATTTTATGGTGCTCACTTATCCACTTAGTCGACGATTATACAAAGTGACACTGTTGACGTGAGGTAATTGTTACGCTCAAGATTTTTATCGTATTTTGAATTGTATGAACTGAAATGCATTAGATTTAAAAACTGCATTGTTTAACTTCAATAAGTAATTAATAGATCGATGACTACTAATTCCTTTGACCAATAAGAAGTTATTACAATAGGTTATTATTGTATTTTTATCTTTTTAAGGATAGTATTATCAATTAAATTTTTTGACAAGCATTGACTTTCGAAAGTAGTTTATAGATTATTAGATCTAATCAAATATTTTTTTTAACGAATTTGGATATGCATTACGTACCTACACTTATATGATGTAATTTGACGATTATTTAATAAAATTGAGAAGAAATTCATTTGTTAAATGATAAAATTGTCTCTAATCAATTTATTCGGATCAGAACAGATATCTATTTTAATGAATTCATATATGTACTATGAAAATAAAATTCATTGGACAATTGAATTGAATTCGGATCACATTGTTCAAATCCGATTTGGATAGAATTTATATTATTTAGAAAGAAGATAATCAAAAGTCTAACAATGAATTTATTAGTTGAGTTAATGCAACTAATAAAAAATTCCTTAAAAAAAAATAAAATAGACATTATAGAATTTTTAAGGATAAATATGAAAATTAAAAGTTTTTCTTTTAAGACATTTTGAAAATGACAAAATAGATATTATATAATTATTGAAAGATAAATAAGAAAATCAAAAACTTTTTATTTAAGCCACTTTTATTAGTAATCTAAATATAGATATATTTATGCAAGATCATGGAAAAAAACATGAAATCCTCACTCGCGTTGGATATCGTGATCATACAGGAAAGAAACTCGATTGTTTCCTTGGATTGTCACCATTTTTCATTTGAAAATGTCATTGTTAACATAAAAGAATTCTCTTTGCGACTTGACTCTGTTAAAAAAAATAGTGTGAATTTCTATAATATAGCAAAATTATTTATTGGGAATTTCTGATAATATATAAAATTGTTTATATAATAAACTACAAAACAGTAACATCAAAGAATAAATGTTAACACATAAAACTGTAATAAATAAAATTGACTCATTTACACATGAGGAACAAAGATTGTGTTGTTTGTAATTTCACAAATATAGTAAAAGCACTTGTACAAAATTGTCTTCGCGCAAGATCAATAGTCAAGTATACGAACGGATGCAATAAGTGAGCAATAAAAGACAATCAACGGCAATTAATGATTAAAGCAGTAACTAAGGAGAAAACACAGATGTTTATAGTGGTTCAATTCAAGTGACATACTCCACTCCGGGGAATGGTGGTGGTGGCGGCCTGGGGTGTTTTATTAATGAATCGTGTTACCGGGAGAGTAACTCCGATGTATTACAGTGTTTTGGAGAGAGAGACCAATCTGTGTAGGAAGGTATAGTGTGTGTAGGGATCTCAAGGTTATGAGAGCATGCCCTTTATATGAAGAGGGTTTACATTATATAGGTGTGATGAGGCGGTGACGTGAGGAGAAAAATTTCTACTGTTTTAGTAAGTACAACTATGGTAGGAGATCTCCGTGTCTATCCCTGTGTTTTCTCCGTCGTGCTCCTATTTTTTCGAAGGAGGATCTTGAACGGAACTGAGCTCGTACTTGATTTGGGTCTTAGACCCAGAGTGATCTTGGACTTGTATTTGAGTGAAGTGGGAGGGGAGGATGGGCAAGGTATGGACGGCGCCCACTTGAAGCCGCATGGGCGGTGCCCACTTGGAGTCTTCGTGGGTGGCGCCCCTTGGGCACTCTGGACAGCGCCCATTCGGCCCCTTGGGCGGCGTCCCTTTTGAGGATAGACTTGGTCTCTGTTTTGGACTCCCACTTAACTCCTTGGTCGATTTATCTATACTTGGATTTTTCATTGAACTTTTTCGGCTTATTTTTATTGGGTTTGACCCAATAAAATTCGAATTCATCATTTGTCCCCCATGTCCCAAACTTTTAACTTTTTTGAGAGAAAGGTATCGCGGGCATGTACTTCATCTTCATCGGAGTAAGACGAAATCTTTCTCGTTTTCAGGACTCTGCCGTATTGATCAACATCGAACAAAAAAAAATTTTGTGTGTGCCGCCCCTTTTTTGACTTTTCTTCCTTTTTTGTTATTTTTTTTGGATCGGGCTTCCTTACCTTTTTTTTTTTTTCTATCTTTCTTCTCTTGGCTTCATAGTTGGGCTTGGGCCTCCCTTTTTTTTTTTTTTCCTTGGTCTAGGCTGGGAGCTGCTCCTCCTTCCTTCTCTTTTCTTCTTTTTCTTTTGGTCTGATCTGGGCGCTACCCCTTCTTCCCTCTCTTTTCTTCTTTTTTTTTTTATTCTTTCTTGGTCTGCTCTCCTAGGCGCTGCCCTCATCCTCTCTGTCTTTTTTTTTTTCTTTTCTTTTCCCTTGGCTGCTTGGGTGCTGCCTCCCTTCTCTGTCTCTCTTTTTTTTTTTTCTTTTCCCTTGGCTGCTTGGGCACCGCCTCCATTCTCTCTCTCTCTCTTTTTTTTTTTCTTTTCTTCCTTTGGTCTGGCGCCTCCTCCTCCTCTTTTTTTTTTTTTTTGGCTTCTTCTTGGGTGCAGCCCCCTTTTTTTTTTTGGCATCCTTTGAGCAACAGTGGAGACTACTGTAGGCTGGTGTGATACTTTGAGTGACGTCAAGAGGCTGAAATAGCGCCTTGAACAATGCCAAGAGGCTGAACAGGTGCCTTGGGCGACACCAGGAGGTTAGGTAGGCACCTTGGGTGACTTCAGGAGGCCTTGGACACTGCTACGTTTGGGTGATGCCTTGAGCCTCGCTATGGGTGGCATCTCTCTGGTGTTTGGTCACTAATTGACATTAACTCTAATTATAAGCACCATGTTGATCTAGAGACTTTCTCTGCTTTTATGGTGGTATTTTTTTCTCCTCTCGAGAAGGCGAGGTTTGATGTCCCAATGCTTCTCGGTCAAAGTCTGATGGCTAAGTTGCTTTCGGTGGTGCCCCCTCTCTTTCCTAGAGTGTGACTCTTGTGTACAACAGAGCTAGCACTTATGCCGCTATAAGAACTGAGACTCCAGCTCGATCTTCTACAGGGAGTGTAGCTCCGAAACTATGCCTGACAAAAACAATGTTTTTCCAACATTTAAATATCTTAACATGATTATCTAGAGAGAGACAGACTGTTTGCATGAGAGCAAAGTCGGAGTTGTGGTCGTTCTGTGAGAGGCGCATAAGATGAGGTCGAGCTACATATAACTCGGGAGATGGCTGCCATAATAGAGGCTAGATAAGGCCGAGCTTTTTTGCAACTCGCGAGAGAGTGTGAAGCTGGAGATATAGGATGTTGCAGTGCAATTCGTGCCTGAGCGGCAGGCACGAGAGGATGTCGCGGAGCTTGCACGGTAGGCACGGAGGATGCCGCTAAGAAGTTGAGGCTAGTACATGAGAGGGCTGACCATCAAATAGCACTTGAGAGAACTATCAGTACAGAGGCTCATTCCATAGAGATGGAGGAGATACTTTGAGACTGACCTTCAAGTAGCACTTGAGAGAGCTACTAGGTTAGAGGCTCACTCCATAGAGATGGAGAAAATGAGAGATACTACTAAGGAGTTGGGCATCGCTGGGCACTTGGTGCTGGGCATGGACGCCGAGGGGCTCTGGGTGCGGACGCCGATGAGTGTTAGGCGTGGATGCTGAGGGGCGCTGGGCGCCTGATGCTGGACGTCTGGTGAGAGGGAGTGGGACCCATCGTTTAGGCTGCATCAAGGGGCGCTCAAGGTGGAAAGGGTGAGGCCCCTTGTCTAGGTAGCATCATGGGGGACGTCCAATGGGGGAGAGGGTGAGACCCCTCACCTAAGCGGCATCAAGGGGAGCACAATGTGGAGAGGGCGAGACCCCTTGTCTGGGCGCCTGAGGTTGGGCTCCTAGGGACACTGGTGCCAGGAGCGGAGAGGTCCTTCTTGGATGGCATGCAAAAGGTGAGCGAGTCATTGTGGGTGATAGCCAGGGCGCTGGCTTGGGTGATGTCAACCTAGGTGTTGGCCTGAGCAACACCTGTCTTGGTGCTTGCTTCTAGGAGCCTATTGCTAGGCGCCTAATATGAGGGTCACTGTTGATTTCTCTAGCTTCGTCCCCTATGAGGCACCACTAGTAGTTGGTGATGGGGAGAGCTTTGATTATAGTGGTTGTGGCTCAAGGAGCAATAACTAATCGTCGAGAGTATGACGACTGACGACTGTTGTCCTTTTGCCTACACATTGTTTTTAGGTCATGCTCTGTAAGCTGTTTGTTAATTTTTAGGAGACCAAGACAATTTTGGACACAATGATTTTCGTAGAATTTTATTTTATAAAATAATAAATAACAAAATAAATAACTGAAACTATAAAGGATAGATAAAATATTCTAGGGTTCGGCATCTATAGATGGACCGAGACTTTCTTAGCGGAGTTTGAGTCAACTACTCCCCCTGGCCCTCAGGAAATTGTCTGAATTTCTTCGAGGGGTTACTGGTGTTCTCTGTCATCCTGGTCTTGACCAGGTGACGGGGCTTGTCCTCTACCAGCAACGTACTGCCTCAAATGACCACCTTGTATGAGTTCCTCAATTTGTCTTTTAAGATCAAAGCAGTCGTCCATATCATAGCCGTGGTTGCAGTGGAAATGACAATACCTGCCGGAATTTCTGCGGTTTGGGGCAGACTTCATTTTTTCGGGCCAATGAAGCATGGGATCATCCTGTATTTCGAACAAGATATGCTCTGCGGAAACATTGAGCGGTGTGAATGTCTGTCGTTCTCTTAGAGATGGGGGACCAAGGCGGTCCTTGGCGAAGATTTTCTCTGTCCTATTCCTCTTATTCTCTGCTTCTCTCTTGTCTTCACGGGTATCCTTCCTCTTTTCGCCCCCGTGGGAGGATTCGCCTCGTTTG